TATAAGAATTTTTAAAGATTTGGATGTCTCTAGAAAGATGGGAGGATAAAAAAATAAATTGTGATTTTATTTTAATATAATTAAATTAATACAAATGTTAAAATCCTTTGGAATTATTTCTGGTTTTCTTTTAATTAGTCAGGGGAAGGTTAATTCTTTAACAGAAAATTTTAATACTTCAAGACATGCTTTATGCATCCTATTTCCAGATTCAAATTCAGGGGTGAATGGTGTTGTTTCCTTCTCTTAGGAACATATTAATGCAAAAACAAAGATTGCTGCAGTTGTAAGAGGATTAAAGCCCAATAGTCTTCACGGGATTCATATTCATGAATTTGGCGATTTAAGTAATGGATGTACAACAGCAGGACCTCATTTCAATCCTTTTGAACAAGAACATGGAAGTCCATTAGATGAGAAAAGGCATGTGGGAGATTTGGGTAATATTAAAACAGATGAAAGAGGAAATGGATATTTGGCTTATGAAGATAACTTGATTTAATTATACGGAGAGTATAGGTAAAAAGTATTTTAATAATTAAGTATTTTGGGAAGATCAGTGGTTGTCCATGCAGGTTAAGATGATTTAGGAAGAGGTAACTAAAAGGATTCAAAAACAACAGGAAATAGTGGTGCTAGATTGGCTTGTGGAGTGATAGGTTTGGCTTCAGGATTTAAGAATTTATAACCATATAAATGATATATAATATATAACTATAGAATATTTAGGAAAATAGTTATTCTCTTTATTAAAAATATGTTATCATTGGATTAACTTTTGAAACCATTCGATTAGTTTGACTAATGGGTGATGAACAGTATCAAAGTCTTGAACATTTCAGAGGACAAAGTTAGACTTGTTTCATATTTTGTATAAATTGCATTCATTACTAGTTATTTTGTATTCCTATAGCCATTATATTTAGTAAGATCTAATAACCTAGAATAAGACTTATATACAACATTTTCTGGGGAGTTTTCTTCACTTTATTCTTGGGTAGAGAGTGGTTTTTGTTTATAAATATCATAACCATATTTGTGTACTTTATATCAACAATACCAACTAAGAACGTGGTTATACCAATATCAATAACAGCATTTGTAGCTCTATCTTATGTCCATCTCTTTCGACAATGGGTAAAATAAAGAAATATCATTAGTTTGATTACTTGTCATGGAAGATAGATTTTTCAGTAATTCAGATGACGATTACATGCAGATTAATATACTATGCTGTAGATTTATAGTCTGGTAAAGCATATGATACTGGATTTTGGACATATTACTCATACATATTTTCATTTTTTAGCATAATGATTGGACCTGTACCATATCATAATTATTTAAACCTGCTTAACTTGAAAGAAGGATATTCTAATATTAAATTTAATTAATATAAATCAGTTATTACTAACTTAATAAAAGCATTATTATTTTGTGCTGGTGAAATATGGATTAGACCATATGTTGATTATGATTGGTATGATTCTCCTTAATGGTATGAACTAAATCTTATAGAAAAAAATTTATTATAAGCAATAATAGGTTTGGTTGCTAGAATGAGATATTTTGCAGGATTTAAATTCACTTAAGCTGCAATGGATGCTGCTGGTATTACTTATAATGAAGATACCTGTAAAACATATTATTTTATAATAATTAGAGTAATTTGATAAATTTATAACTTGCGATTATTCTTATGAAAAAGATGTAAGTGCGATTCATAAAACTGCTAAATGGAATACTACTGTATAAATATGGCTCAAATATTGTTTCTTTGATAAACTAGCAATAGTTTTCGATGTTACAACTGCTTATTATTTGACATATGGTATAAGTGCATTATGGCATGGTTTCTATCTAGGATATTATTAAACCTTTTTTTGGTGGGCATTAATTAATCAGAATTGTAAATATGTTTACAGAAGTAGACATAAATTTTAATGGTAATCAATTATCATAATTACTTATATAGGATTCCAACACCTCTAAGAAGTATTATTGCATTTACATATTGTACATTCACTATGAACCAAATCGCAATGACTATGGGTTTGTTAGATTTGGATAAAGGAATGAGATTCAATAATAGTATGTATTGGTCTGGACCTATTGCAGTCCTAATTGTATTCTTCTTCTTCTACCTTACTCAATATGGATAGAAAAGTAGGAAATGATAAAAATATGTTTTATTTCTCATAAATAAATATACACATAATTTTCATCATATTAAATTGTTGTATCCTGTGTAATTTAGGAATTAATAATTTAACAAACTTTATTATAATTCTCTTTGTTTTTTATCTTAGCAACTATTCCTGTATTCACTTACTGCTTTTACACTTTAGGTGCATCTTTAGAATTACTCTAAATGCATAACATTACTCTGTTATCTTATGTTATTTAATAGTAATCTGTTATATAATGCAAGAGAGTGCATTCTCTGGCTTATTTAACCTTACTGCTTCCACTTAATTTAATTCGTTTATTATATTCACTTACTATAACTAAATCATTAGATTATTCAAAAAACCAACTAAATGACTATTAAGCAAATTATGCAATTTCAAATTGAATATTCTAGAAATCTATATTCATTTCATATGCAACTTCTTAATTATAATAAATTGGGGATTCTGAATTTAATAATTACTTCATAAATTATACTTTTTTAAATAATTCTGAATTGTTGATATTTTAATTGTTGTCATTTAATATAATAATAGGATAATTTTTAACTAAAATAAACATGAGCCAAAATTCATCTAAAGCTTCTATTTATTTTTTTATTTATTAGATAGGTTATGATGTACATTATATTTACTTTACAATATAAAGTGTTTATTCTTTTAATTTAAAATATACATGATGATCAAAAATTGGCTAAGAAAATCTTTTACTTAATAAAGAATGTTATTCTGATATAATTGTTGCTATTTTTTAAGGATGATCACTATTTTAATTAATTTTTTAATCACATTCCCAACCATTTGAAATTAATGATTTTAAATTATCACATTTAATTCTTAAATCCCAAAAGGATTCTGTAGCTTATACTTATAACTATTCTATAAGTTTTGTTAGATTAACAATTTATTTATCTGTTTTTTCTATCTAACTTTCTTTCAATTTTAATTACTATTCAAGTACTGTCACTTTTGTTAATAATTCTTTATTCTAAATTTAAATCTAAGAGTATTCAAGCAAGGTTTAATTCTTTAATTCAATTTCCTATCTTAAATTAATAAATTAATCTATGATTAATTACAATTTGATATCCATATTCTAAACATTTGGAATATTGAAATAGTCATAAAAAGCATTCAATTTGTTATATTATTGATTCTATTCAATATATTTAAGTGTATTTTTTAGTTTAATATTTTCATTTTAAACTTTGATTAATCTATCTCTTAAAATGTAAATATCATCAACTTAACCAGTATGCTATTATTAAGCTTCTAATTTTTGAATTTTATTACGAGCTTATTCTAACTATTCTTATAGTTCTGTTATTTACTTGTTGGAAATGAATTCTTAAAATTTACTCATTTAATTATATAAATGTTTTGTATTTATATACTGATTATGCTTGAATGAATACTATTATTGATCTAAAGAATAATATTAAATTATAACCATTAATATTTCACTATTAAATTAGTATTATTTATGTGTAAGCCAAATTAACACATTATCATCCTTGGGATTTGATATATTTAATAATTGATTTTTATGAATTAATCTCTTTACTCTTTTAACTTGAAAGCACTATTACCTTTAGAAAATTACTTATTAATACTTAATGAGAAAACTAGGCTAAACAAATATATTCACAGCTAGAATACTATTTAGATTAAGCAGTTAGACTCAGAATAAACTACTAGAAGAAAAAGCTGTCATTGTGGTTAATGTGGATAACAAAGTTAATTATAATTCAAAACAATGAATATTCCATTGAAGAAAAGAGAAATATTAAAAGAATAGGAATATTCTCCACCTGAATTTATAGTTACAAACTCTGATTGTATTTAAAGATTATATATATATTTAGCTAAAATGAATACCTATTATAAGAAATCATCATTTAAGAATTTGAAAATCTTTATACCTAAAGATAATAATACCATTAATACTCAGTTATCTTTAAATATTCATGGATTTAAAAGAGCTTATAATAAATAAAATACATTATTGAAAATGATAACAGATGGTTAAGAGAGGTCAAAAAGAAAAGATAGTATTGGATTATATTCATAATCTGATTTATAATCTATTAATTCTTAGAATTATTTAAATATTGCTACATAATCATCCTTATAGAATCAAAAGAATTCAATATAACTAAAAAGTCCTGTAAGTATGTTTTCCCCCAAAAGAAAGTATCAGAATAAACATACCAAATTATTAAGTACTAATATAAGGAATTAAAATCCTTATATAATAAACTTTAATAGATAATTTTTAATAAGGCCATTAAAGTTATAAACTTCACTTTCGACTCTTTAAAATTAGTTGCCAAAATTAAATAAAAAAGCATAATGATTGTTTTATTATTAATTCTTATTGAATGTGATTATATATATATATGTAGACAATTTTGATTATCATAAAATTAATTATTATTCCAATTCTATTTCAAAAGAATTATTAAAATAATAATAATTAAATTATTTTTTTTTGGATATATACAGGTACAAATAAGAATAACCAAATACATAAACATGATTATCATTTTGAAAATACAATTACATCTCTATGATTTTCAACATGTTAAAGCAATTCATCAATATCTTATATTGGGACTTCCATGTCTTAAGCAATATTTTTAAGATGAGTCTTAAATTTATCAAATTATTAATTTGTGATATTCAAATTTTTGTGGACTTCTATTAAATCTCTATATATATATTAATTTATTGATAATACCTGCCAGTATATTAAGTATTTTTATCACCCATCATTTAAGAGAAGAATCGCTTTTATTGATATCTTACTCTACTCATGTCTGCCTTCAAAAATTTATCACGAAGAAGTTTATCAAAGAGTACTTTATAATAGAATTGATCAATAAGTTCAGATACTTATTAGTCTCCTCCAAATTTTTCAAACAAGCATTTCTTTTAATTATCCATTATTAATTTTTATTATCAAATATTCACTAAATATCCAACACGCTTTAAATCTTCAATTTTCTTTTTGGCTTTGGTTGCATTAATTAAAGTTTGGTTCAAATATAAAGATTTTGGCAATGAACAACTTTAGGGGGAATTTCTAACTAAAGAAATAAAATAATCTAAAGTCCTTTCAGTTATCATATTTGATGATAAATGTAGACTTTAAAAAGCTTAATTTGTATTATATACTAAACAATCTAATAGTTTACAAGCTCCCTCATCAGTTATTTTATTTCTAACTAATTTAAGTTATTTAACTCTCTTAGATATTTTAAGAATATCCCCTATAAATTATAATCCTTCATCTCCTAATTCTAATATAATAATTATATATATATATACCTGCACTTGAAAAATCTGCTATTTCTAAATTATCACTCTTAAATGCTTACCAAACATTTTCAAATTTCTCATTAATCTTAAACATTTTCTTTTTCTTACAATCCTATATTTTAGTATTAGGACTAACTCCTTATCTTATTGAATTAACTTATTCTATATCTCTTCTACCAGGACTTGGTTATTAAAAGGATCCTTTAAGTTTTTCTAATGCTCTAATTTAAATTCTCTCTGGTTTTGTAGGAGTAGTTGATTGAATAGTTTATGAACTTACTACAGGTTAAATTTCTTTAAGTTCTTTTAATCCAGATCCATTCTTATTTTTTATAAATTCTTCTTATTCTATACTACTTCTATTTGGACTTTTTACTTAAGTAATATTTGTAGTATCATCCATTAGACTTTCACTCCAATCTGCCATTGATATATCTTTAAGTAACATTGGCTCATCTTAACAAAAACTTGAAAAAACATCTTAACCACATAATTTACTAAAACTCTCATTTCTCTTTATATCCTATAATAATGATGAATCTGTTAAAGTATTGATATTTTTTAATATTTAACTACTCTTAGTCATAATACTAGTATTATTGACATTACTTAATTATAATGTAATAGTAAAGAGATTATCAAAACTCTTATCTATTTCTGTTTTTTTGAGATCTACTCTTAATTTCTTTATTTTAATATTTTATAATTTAATATCCAATTATTTTTAGATCTTCTCTAATTCATCATATATTCCCTTTCCCTTATCTACACAAGCATAATCTTGATTATTTAATAAATCCAAAGGCAATTCTCCATTTTCTGTTTTAGTTGAGAAATATACTAATCTATCTTTAGCTGTTATCTTCCATAATTCAGCCTAAGATAAGCAACTTTATAACAATTCTTTAACTTATTTTTTTGTTTATTATTCTAGTGATTATGTTAATGTAGTCAATTATTCTATAAGTCTCTATTCTTTTAGATCTAATAATTAATGAAGTTCTTTAAATTTCTCTTTTACTGTATTATGACTCTCTGTAAGAACACTTGAAAATCTTTCTTATAATGGTTCAAAATATTTTTATTCTGTCATTTCACTTTACTTTTACAGGATCTTTTAATATATCTACATAATATTTTCAGCTTTTTAAGTGATTTCTTTTACAACATCATCAAATGAACGAACCTCATGATGTCGATGTTATCCAAATAATGCACATCTTGTACAAATTCTAACTTAATCTGTGAGACATACTATTTCTAATTTTTCAAGATGTTCTTAACATAAATCATTAGGAATATCATTAGAAATTAAGTTATTCAATTACAATTGATAATTTATATCATTATCATCATTTCTTGCTGATTATCTACTTTACTGGTATTAGGTTTTATTTTTGACCACCATTTTTAATAATTAACAATTTTTTGGAAATTATGAGATATCATTTTTATTTTTGGCCATGATACTATAATAAATAATAATTTTACCCATCTTCTGGACAAACAATGTATTTTTTATTGATTAACATTTGTTAAATACAATTTTAACATATTGTATGTCCACAATCTGGAAGCATCAATGGTAGATTTTCATTCTCATTAAACATCATTTAACATTCTGGACATATAAGTTCTTCTATTTATTACATTTTTGAATTCAAAAACAGTTGATATTAAATTTATATAAAATATATTTTTTATGCAATAATAATCATCATAATTGAACAAACCTATAGATAATTAAATACTTTAATAAGAGATTAGAAATGGATATAATGAATATGATATAAGAAATGCTTGGCAGGCTACAAATGGAAATATGGCTTAATTTAAATAGTTCTTATAAGGAATAAAAAATCAATCATTTATAATAAATCCAATTAATCAATAATTTAATGATGATATTTAAGTAGCTATGGCAGCATCATTAACATTACATTAATAATATATTCCATTTGGAAAAGTTAGATAAAATTATATTCCATGTGGTTTGTTGAATGTAGGAAATACCTGTTATTTTAATTGTCTTTTATAGACTTATTATTTTATATATGATTTTGTATCTTCTATAGTGAAATGCAAATTTGATCATATTAATCTATAAAATATAGTTGATAAAAGACTAATTAATTCTATTGAATTAGTTAAAAATCTATAAAATCTTTTTGTTCTTATGATTGGAAGTGATAGATAATTTGTTGATCCAAAGAAAGTGATTCTTTCAATATGTGATGATTTTGGTAAAGCATTGCCTATTGGAGATTAAAAGGATGTTAGTGAATTTAATAATTATTTTCTATCAAGAATTGATGAAGGTATAACATATTTAAGTTAATCTTTATAAAAGACAAACAATTCATAGAGTTAGTAATAAATAAAATAATAATTACCAGGTTAATCTTTAGTTTAATTTCCAACAATTAATTTTAATGAATAGAATTAAAAAAGTTTGATTTCATAAAAATCATTATTAATTAGATAATCATCAGTTATTGTAGAAAATTCTATTGTATATAAATTATTTTATGGTAAATTTGCTCCTTAAATATTAATAAAAGGTTAAACATTAAGTAAAGATTGTTAATAAGAATTATTCAATATAATATAAATAGATGTGAATAGTAAATCATTAATTGAAGGATTTGATAAATATATGAATTAAGCAGTAGAATATAAAAATGATAAAGATGAATATCAATAAGCAATCAAATAATTTTGGATATAATAGGCTCCATAAGTCCTTACATTTTAAATATAAAGAGTAGAATTTAACAAAGAATTTGGTAATTTATTTAATTAATAATTAGGTTCATTTACTAAAATTAATTCATTTTTTTAATTTGATAAAGAAATATATTTAGATCGTTATCTTTTATAAAATTAGAAGATGGCAAAAGATATATAAATATAAAATTAATAAATGAGAGATAGATTAAAGAAAATTGATTAAGAATTAAGTATGTTAACATAATTTAATGGAAATATTGATATTATTTAAAATTTAGAAACAACCTTATAATTTTTGAGATTATAAAATTAAAATGAAAAATAACATCCATTTTATGTAGATAGTAATGATAATAAAACAACAATTAAATCAATTTCTGAATATTATTAACATTATATTAAAAAAAGAGATTGTTTATAAAAAGAAAGAAAAGAAATAGAATTAAAAATTTCTGAAAGTTATAATTCATTAAAAAAATAGAAATATATCTTATAATCAATTTTGATGCATGAAGGTAATCCTGATGCTGGTCATTATTTTGCATATATTTATAATCTAGATGATTAAAAATGGTATTATTTTAATGATATTCATGTTCATGAAGAAATAGAATAAAATGTATTAAAAAATGCTTATGGAGATTAATCAAATTCTAAAAGTGCTTATTTATTATAATATGTAAAAGAAGATAATGCAAAATTTGCATAAAATTCAATGGTGAAATTAAAAGTATTTAGTACAAGTGAAGATCAAAAAAGATATTTAACAGATGGTTATGGATTATTATTATCTTAATAATAGAGAGAATTTCTAAATTAAGATAATGAAAAATTAAAATAAGAAGTTGAATAATAAAAATTAATAGGCTAAATAGAAATGATTATTACTAAATATATTTAATATTTAGAAATTGCAAATGAAAAATAAAGAAAATATTAATAAAAATAATATCCACCTTTTCCAGTCAAACCACCTTATTTAGAAAATTATGCTATGTATTTGAAATTGAAGCCTGATGAAAGATTATTCAAATGGACAATATTAGATAATGCAATAATTAAAATTATGCCATAATCTAATGGATTATTTGGTCAACCAGGAATTAATGAAATAGTTAAAACCTAAATCTTAGAAGAAATGAATAAATTAGGAAATAATAAACCTTAACATTTCCCTTCAAATTAAGAGTACTCGAATTCAATAGAAGAATATAAATAAGCATTAAAATTATAATGTATTATAGCCTACCTCTTTGAATAATACGATAATAATAATTTTATAGAAGCATTGTAAGCATTACATAAATATATGAAATTAGCTAAGCTAACTAATTAATAATCCTTTTTTTATACTCTAGCCATAAACTTAAAACATTTAATTTTATTAGGTATTATATGTAAAATAATGTAAAATAAAAATATTGGTGAGTCAGAATTAAAAATCTTAAAATTAATAATAGCATTTTAGATGTAGGAACATTTTCTATATACAGAACCAAAATTTTGGAATGATTAATTGAAGAATTTAATTGATACTGCAATTAATACTTATGGTGCAAATGAAAAGTAAAAATAGATATAGGAAGTACTTAAACCTATGATTTAAAATAAGAAAGATGTTGACATATGCTCTCTATTGGATGCATCATCTTAAGTAAAAAGATATATTATTCTAGAACATTGAAGAATATATTTAGAATCTATAATCGATATATTTAGAGTAATAATTTGAAAATAATCTTGAAGATTTCCTCCTCGATAATTTAATGACTACATTATAAAGATTCTTTTTAATAAAAGTATTTTATTTAATTAATCTATTAGACTATTTAATTACTATTTGAAAATATATAAAAATCATCCACAATTTTGGATAAAAAAGTAATTTTAGATATAGTTGGAGGAATACCTCAAAATAAATGATGGTAATATTAAAGATATATATATATATATATCAATAACCATAATTTTAAGTAACATTATTACCTGCAATGTAGGCACTTACATTTCTTAATCTTTTAAATTACATTTATTATTCTGCTGATTTTTTGAATGTACCATCTACATATGCTCTTAAAAATAGATATCAATGTTACTTTTATTTAAGTTTTTCATAATCAACATGATTTGATAATCCAGGAACTACTCCAATACCTGCTAATTGAGGATCATCTTCTGCCTATATAAATATGAATATTTTAATACTTCAAATATTTTCTTATTCATATTTAATTCAACCATACTCATTGATGCTTCTTATTATTTTCTGTTTTTGTCCTCTTCAATTTACATAATTAAATCTTATCTGTATTATTATTATAATTGATTCTTTCTTTCACTTTATTCTCTCTCTTGCATTTAAAATTTTTAATGAAGTCCAAGTAATACTTCTTGATCTTTATATTTGCTATTCTATTATTCTCTCTAACTCTATTGTTTTGAATGTATTTAATTTAAAATTGTATCTACAGTATCCTTTTGTAATTTTTCCTTGTTTACTCTTTCCATTATATATTTTTCTTCTTCTTATCTTTACTTATAAGTTGCAGCTTCTTCAATAAATTTTCTTTGTAGTTCTTTATCTTTATATTCTTTTTGTAAATAAAGATCATTATATTTCTGAAGTACATTTTCATTTTAATGATATCCATATTTGATTTTACTAAGATGCTAATTTATAATAATAGATGATTACTAATAATCTTTACTCTTCTTCTTTTTGACTTCTTTATAATTATTCTTAAAGTAGCTATTATTCTCTTTATCTAGACAAATATTATTCCATTTTTTTTTATTCTTCTTATTAAAGATAAGATTATGCTAAATCTTTTTGAACTTATTCTTTTTTTTATTATTTTAAATAAATGTCCTTTTTTTCTGCTTAATCCATCATTATTCCAATTTAAAATTGTTATTATCTATCTTAAAGAAAGTTGAGTCGCTTTAAAATAATAAAAATAGAGATACTTATTATTCTTTCTTTATTTATTCTTATTCTAGACTATATCTTATAAATTCAGATTGTTTTTATTTAAGTTCCTATAATTTCAATTATTCAACACTGTCTCTTTAATGTAAGAATTTCTGCATAGCTCCAGCAAATTCACTATCGTATTTAGTTTTTTAAATTGTAGATTATTTCTATTCATTAATCAATCTTTCCAATTCTTCTCTATTTTCATTTGAATTATAATACCTATATAACCGCTTTCTATTTTCTTATTCTTCTTTTTCTTACTTTTCTTACATTTCTTGTTGTATTCTTTACCTTTCGATCAATCTTGACCATTAACCACTAGGATCTAAAATGCAAAATATAAATTACCATGTTTACTATAATGAGTCATATTAACAAACAAATTAGTAAAAATTAATAAATTTTATTTATTAAATATTATACTACTTGAATAAAGTATATTTTAACATAGATAATAACTAGAACACTTAACAAGTTCAAATCAAATCAAAAATTAATTAATTAATTGATAATGGGTGGATAACCTTCTCTAAGTCCATAATCAAATTAATATTAAGTTGATAAATTGAAGTTAGATTAAATTGCAATCAAAAAACGAACATCTAAACCTAATTTATTTACTACTTACAGAACACTTGTTATAATATCAAGTATTATTATTAATTTATTTAAATAGTCATTGTTGGAATAATTATAATTGCAGTCTTATCATTTAATAAATAAATAAAAAGAATACATTATCATTAATTAATCAGAAATTAATTCTCATAATTCTCAAGGATATCCTTATACTTTAGAACCTAATGATTTCTTTTAAGTAAGTTTGATTATTTTATTAAAATGTAACATTGATGTAAGCTAAAACTTTGTTTAAAAATGATTTCACATAATAAANTAAATAAAGATCATTATATTTCTGAAGTACATTTTCATTTTAATGATATCCATATTTGATTTTACTAAGATGCTAATTTATAATAATAGATGATTACTAATAATCTTTACTCTTCTTCTTTTTGACTTCTTTATAATTATTCTTAAAGTAGCTATTATTCTCTTTATCTAGACAAATATTATTCCATTTTTTTTTATTCTTCTTATTAAAGATAAGATTATGCTAAATCTTTTTGAACTTATTCTTTTTTTTATTATTTTAAATAAATGTCCTTTTTTTCTGCTTAATCCATCATTATTCCAATTTAAAATTGTTATTATCTATCTTAAAGAAAGTTGAGTCGCTTTAAAATAATAAAAATAGAGATACTTATTATTCTTTCTTTATTTATTCTTATTCTAGACTATATCTTATAAATTCAGATTGTTTTTATTTAAGTTCCTATAATTTCAATTATTCAACACTGTCTCTTTAATGTAAGAATTTCTGCATAGCTCCAGCAAATTCACTATCGTATTTAGTTTTTTAAATTGTAGATTATTTCTATTCATTAATCAATCTTTCCAATTCTTCTCTATTTTCATTTGAATTATAATACCTATATAACCGCTTTCTATTTTCTTATTCTTCTTTTTCTTACTTTTCTTACATTTCTTGTTGTATTCTTTACCTTTCGATCAATCTTGACCATTAACCACTAGGATCTAAAATGCAAAATATAAATTACCATGTTTACTATAATGAGTCATATTAACAAACAAATTAGTAAAAATTAATAAATTTTATTTATTAAATATTATACTACTTGAATAAAGTATATTTTAACATAGATAATAACTAGAACACTTAACAAGTTCAAATCAAATCAAAAATTAATTAATTAATTGATAATGGGTGGATAACCTTCTCTAAGTCCATAATCAAATTAATATTAAGTTGATAAATTGAAGTTAGATTAAATTGCAATCAAAAAACGAACATCTAAACCTAATTTATTTACTACTTACAGAACACTTGTTATAATATCAAGTATTATTATTAATTTATTTAAATAGTCATTGTTGGAATAATTATAATTGCAGTCTTATCATTTAATAAATAAATAAAAAGAATACATTATCATTAATTAATCAGAAATTAATTCTCATAATTCTCAAGGATATCCTTATACTTTAGAACCTAATGATTTCTTTTAAGTAAGTTTGATTATTTTATTAAAATGTAACATTGATGTAAGCTAAAACTTTGTTTAAAAATGATTTCACATAATAAATTAATGTAGAAAAATGTAAAGTACTTATTAATTTCGAAATTCCAAGCTTTTTCAATTTTAAAGAATCATAACCTCATTGCTCTCATAATATCTACAATTAAGGAAATTGCTCTTCCTCTTATTCTATTACTGTATCTTCAGCTTTTTCAGATAGAGTCTATAAAGTGAATTCAACATAACAATTATCAGCTTAAAACTTGTTATCTTGTGATGGTAAATTAAATCAAGTATGTAGAAGAGGACATATAACAAGATCAGCTGAATATATTATTAAACATGGATTGACTAATAATGAATGTCATCCATTTAGAGGTGATGATAATTTCCAAGAATGTAAAAAAGCACTTGAAAAATGTTAAAGATTTAAAGGTAGTTCATATTGCTAATGATAAAATAAAGATGTATATATAGATACATAAATTTAAGGATATAAAAAGAGATATCATTAATAATGGTCCTGTTGTTGCTATTATGTAAGTTTACAAAGACTTTTTGGTTTATAGAGATGGAATATATAAAGTCTTAGAATGAATACCTAGATTTCATGGAGGATATGCTGTAGATATTATAGGATGGGGAGAATAAAATGTATATTAATATTGGATTATTTAAAACACATGGGGTAAAAGTTGGGGAATTGAAGTAATAGCTAAACTTAGTATAGATGGTTTTATAGATCTGTCTTTATAAACATTATCAATTATTTATTAAATAATATAATAAATTATTTATATTTTTTGAAGTTAATAATTCAAATAAATCAAAATTCAAATGATAAGAACTCCTTCTAATTCCTTTTATATGAGAAATTCTCATAATTAATCTCATTCACCAATACCTTAATAAAAATTTATTACTCCAGAAAAATTAGTAAGAGTTAGTGGAAGTTCAGGTGTAAAAATGAATTCAATTTAAAAAAATGGTACAAGAATTAGAAGTGAAACCATAGAAACTGTTAATAAGGTTAAGGAATAATAAAAGTTATAAGAATATGTATAGGAATTTGAATATTGTATTATTTATTAATAAAGACTTAGAATTTGTTTAGTAAAAGAATGAAGAATAATAATAATTAGAATTGAGAATCTTAATGTTATTACAAAAGAATCATGATTAAGCATAAGAAATGGAAGAATTGAAATAGGAGAATGAATAATTAAAATAACTTCTATATGAATAATAAACTAAAATAGTTGAGTAAAGTTAAGAAATCTTAGCATTAAAAGTTTATAAAGATGGATTAAAGAAATTAAGTTTTAGTGATTACTTTCGATAATAGAATATATGAGTTTCAAGTATAAGTTAATAAATGAGAATAGTTTATCGTTTTTTAGAATAAATATAAATATCATAAAAAATACAATAAACTTTCTAATGCTGCATGAGCATCATTCTAGATAACTTCTCCTACTCTATATGCAACTGTATGAGCATTTTATAGACAAGCAGGTATTTTAACTGGTCCTGACCAATTTCTATAATTAAAACATTAAAAGTAAGTGAATCTCCAAAAAGTATCTTCATTCCAATTAGTTGTATTTTCAATCACAGTATAATGAGTTGGTATTGGTGTACCTTAATTAACTTATTAAGCTATTAAAAAAAAGTCAAATTCTTTAGATGTTATTCTTTCTGGAAATATCATTCCATTATTTTCATTATTTGGCGAGAAAAATTTATCACTTATCCTTTTATTTACTATAATATATGCAAATTGAGGTAATTTAATATTATATGTCTATTAAATAACAGATTTCATAGATTTAAGTTCTATTTCAATTAAATCATCAATTTATGAATTACCTACTCCATCTCGAAATATGATAATTGTATCTGGATAATATTTATTTGATTTTTAATATTATTGTAAACTTTAATTTAATAATTAACCAACTCCTTTATTTAATTCTTTTCCTTTTTCAACAATAAGGGTTTTTGTAAAATGTTTATCACTTTATTAACCAAATTAAGCATTAAATCCTACACAAGATTTATTATTTATAAGTGTTTTATGATAAACATCAATACCTATAATCATAATTTTATCAGAAACTTCAGTTATTTTTTATATATTCCACAATTACTTTCCTATTTTACTATGAACCTATTTTACTATTTATTAAGCAATTTTTGAGAATTTTTTAGAATCAACTGTTTAGATTGAAACATTTTAATGTAATACTCCTTAACCAGATATTAAAAACCTTTTTAATTCAAAATAGAGTTTGGAATCTTCATGTCTGTCTAAAATTGATACAACAATCTATGGTTTTCCATTAGTATTAAAATTATTTAATAATGCTTATGACCATTATGCAGGATCTAAATTATTCATTACTATTTTTTTTGGTGCATTAATTTAATTACCCAATTCTTTAGTAGATTTTATGAATTCTTAAGTAAATAAATTTGCAATTTGTTATTCTTCATTATAATGTATCAATATCCAATTATTAATATTTGATTATTCTATTAATTTACCTCTTTAATTAAAACATGCTCCATCTGTCTATTTAATATTAGCTTCAGGAAATAAAGTTGGTTTAATAATTTTATATGCAGGTGTAATTGAATTATTTGATAGACTAATTGAATGATTTGTAAAATATTTATCAAGCAATGTCCTTTCATTATCAATTTTAGAACTTCTTTCTAAGGGATCCAAAGTTGTCTATTATTTTATATTACTCATAACTTTAAAATTGTTTTTTTAAGTATTTGTCAATTCAATCATATACAATAATTCTGGGATAAGTCTTATAATTTATTTTGTTTTTCTATCTTCATGCACTAATAAAGGTTATGTTAAATCACTCAGTTTAATTTTATATCTTTAATAATAATATTGTTCATAGGTTATGTTAGAGGATTCCATTTTGAAAGTAGGATTAGATTTTAAATCAATTGATTTTATTCTATACATTCTTTTTGAATATATAGTCATAAATGTTTTATTTTCAAAGAATTATTAAAGATCAATAGGATTTTTAGATTTCTTATTATCTTTTATAAACTGCAATACTGTCTATTTATTAAATATCTTTGTTTTAAAATCTATTAATAATAATGGTGATGTTTAGCCAATTTATAGAACACTTGTAAATCCTTATAAAATCTAAACATCATTAATTTTTTCAATCTTATCTTTATCAAAGAATTAACCTTTTCTAAATATTTATTTTAGATTTCTTTCTTGATATATTTAACTTAGTATAGCATTCATAGCTTATTTAAGACTTTCAGGAGGAATCTAATCTAAATTTTATGTTAGATTATATGTTTTTGCATGTTTGATAATTAAGTTAATATTTTATAGTTGTTTACATCCAGGTACTTAGAAAGATTTTTCTACATATTCAAAACTCCATAAATTATACCCACTAATCCAAAATCTATTAATTCCATTTTTTCTTATAAACTAAGAAGACCCTGTAGCATATATAATTAATTCATTCTATTATTCTTAAGGTAATTCTTTTGCAAATGTTATGCTGTATAATTAAAGTTGTAAGTTTTTTAAGAATTTAATCTCATAATGATTAGATGAGAATTTCATTAATTAGAAATATTTGGATATGTTTTAACTTCTAGGAGGTTTTAATGGAGGTTTGTAATTTGTCTATTGTTGATCTAAAATTTACATATACAATAATAATATTTATTATTTTTGTGGTAAATTAATTAGGTATTTAAGATAGAAAGTATCAGTTTAGACTTGCAATGAAATTCTTAATTAAGATAATCAATAATATATCGAAATTAAATATATTAGGATTAATAGAAGACATATATTTCTATAAATATTCTTCATGCAGAATGATAGATAAATAAAAGTATAAAATGTTTTATTAAATTTGTAATGAAATTTATATAATTTATATAAAATAATAAATGTATTAAAATGATTAAGATATTCTAGTTAGAGAAGTAATTTAAATTAGAAATTCTACAACAGGAACTTATTTGACTGCTACAGGATTTAATACATAAGAAAAAGGATTTTTATTTGGAAGTACTACAAATATCAATGATTATTATGTTGTTGGGAGTGATGATCCAGAAAATCATTATACACTTTGGACTATAGTAAAAGTTTTTGAAGACACTAATAGGATTAATTATGGAGATATTATTTTTTTAAAGAATTTAAGTACTAAAATGTATTTGATATATAAATTTGAGAAATAATCAGAAGTTTCTCATTAAATTAGAGTTTCTTTAAATTATAATAGATAAGAGAATTATCCTTTTATTTTGTAATAATAAGGAGAATAAATATTTTAATCAAAAGATTATGGAATTAAGAATGGTGTATAATTGAAGATTTAAACTAGAAAGTTAACAAATTTTCTTTAAACATCAAATAAGAATTATGCATCAAAGTAAATTAAAGATTATAAGGAAATATCTTGTGGAAAAGAAAATCAAAATGATTATTGGGAAATTATTAAATTGGATCCATAAAAACAAAAACTCTTTGACATTAAACCAATATAATAATTGATAATGAATATTTAAGAAATCTTTAATAATGATAAAATAATAATTAGAAATTATAAAAGTGGATACTCTTTACATTCTCATAACAATATGTATGCTTCTACTGGATAACAAGAAGTAACATGTTTTAGTTATGAGAGAGATGGTATTATTAATAATTTTAATATAATAGATAATGATTTATGGATAATAAAATAATCTTTTAATATGGCCTAAAATTAAATCTAAAATTACATGCCAATTAATTTGATTCATAAAGAAACCATGAAGTTTTTGTCTATAGATGAGAAAAACTTAGCTAATTCAAAGAATGGTAATTAAATTAGATGTATGTAATCATCTATGTAATAATCACTAAATATTTAAAGTATTTATAGAATTAATATTTTATAGCAATTGATAATGAATAATTGATTGTAGGTAAACCATTTTTATTCGTTTATTAACCAATGAATAAATTTTTATGTTAAGGACCATCTTTATCAGAAATGCAAACAACTTAATATGAAGTCATTTTAACAGATTAATTAACAACTTCTTGCTTATGGGTTATTGAAAAAAAAATTAAATGAATATGATATTATAAAATTAATTATATAGACAAAAATTAAAAAAATTGCACACAGTGAGATTTGAACTCACGCGAGAATGACTCACCGCATCTTGAGTGCGGCCCCTTAGACCACTCGGGCATGTGTGCTATATCGAGAATTTGGTTTTGATTTCAATTATAAACAAGTTAAAATATCAATTAATAAAAATAATATAAAATTCTTATATATTATGATATATTAAATTTATAAATATTATTAATAGATTTGTAAACTTTAAAGATTAATGAATAATATATTTCTTATCTATTGATTATTCATTTTTAAAATAATTATTTTATAATTGAAATGGATTAATTATTTATTATTTATTTATTCATTATAAATGTATAATAGATTATTTTGGTCTAAATACATCTTTAGAGTATTTCACATCTCAACAATCACTATTATAAGCGGAAATATAATATGGAAATATTTGTTTTCATCATAAAATGAAGATCCTTCAAAATTAATTTAATGGGTATTATCCTTCATTATGATTATTTCTGGCTTCATTAATACAATTTTGTTAGATCCAAAAAACAAAATGAAATAGCATTCTAAATAATGGATTGGTATGATGCATACTAAATTGATATTATGTAAGTATTTAATCTAATTAGCAATAATCATAATGACTCCAATCTTTAATTAAATTTTTGATTATCACCTTGCTTTGGAAA